AACGCGTGTGGTAATTACACATAAATAGAGTGCGGGAAAACTGCACTGGCACCGAACAGCAACTCGCTTGCTACACTCAAGTGCCCTGCCACTAAATCTTGTTTGACAGCCCTTCCGCCCCAGCCTTGGAATGGAGAATTCTGCTTTACAGAGACGCCCCAAGTAGAGTGGATCCACTCTTCCTAATTGCTCTCCTACCCTACCCATCACCATTATTTAATTGCTTCACACAATGTTATTTTTAACACTCTGGAGTGCACTGAGGAAGAGGACTCAATCATTGGTGCCTAACATGGGGCATCCTTCAGTTCCTGACCTCTTTAAGGCCATCCATTTCCAACTACTTCTCCTTTCTTTTCCCTTTCCAAATACTTCAGCTCAAAAAAACATCACAACATATCGAGTGCAGGAGCAGGTATAGAGAGTCCAGCTGACCTCTACTAAGAGATCAGGAAAACTGTAAAAACAATGCTCTTTTGGGGCGCCTGTGTGGCTCAGTCGGTTAAGCGGCCGACTTCGGCTCGGGTCATGATCTCACGGTCCGTGAGTTCGAGCCCCGCGTCGGGCTCTGTGCTGACAGCTCAGAGCCTGGAGCCTGTTTTGGATTCTGTGTCTCCCTCTCTCTGACCCTCACCCGTTCATGCTTTGTCTCTCTCTGTCTCAAAAATAAAAAACGTTAAAAAAATAAAAAAATTAAAAAAAAAACACAACAATGCTCTTTTTTTTGGCGGCGGGGGGGGCAGGGGGGGAAGCGGGGCACACAATTACTGTTCTTGAAGTTATTACTTAACATGTCATGGGTTTTTATTAAACAAATGAGTTATTTTTAATATCTGGTTTTTGATATTCTTCGAAACTGGATAGAAATGCAGCAACAGACAGCGTCCTAGCTCAAGAGAAATTTAAGTGTCCGTCCAAGTACTCTGAGCAAATTCCAGGCACTCATAATGGGAAGTTACACGGAAGAAATAGTATAATGGCAGCACCTTCCAGGAGCTAACCCTTCTTTCTGATGAGCCTTGGTGGGCCTGTTACTTTACTTAACCCAGTTTGACTGCTGTGATGATGCCCGCACCTCCACTGTCCTATTGGCAAAATGTCGTCTGATGGTCTATACCCTCAATATCTCCTGCACTGAAAGAGCTCAATCACCATGTGCTGATGCTGGCTGACGCTCAGTTTCTTAGTCTTCCTGGCTGAACAAAAGCAGCCTGGTGTTTGTAGGCCAAGTTCAGGAGGGCCCAGGACTGGGGCTGTGACATCTTGGGAACTTGGGCACGGCAGCCACTTCTATTTCCACAGCTATGCCTGCAGGGGCACTCTCAGGGTGGTTCTGAGTGACAAACGAGCCAACATGGGTGAATTCATCCAGAACGTGGCAAAAACTCGGTCACACAAATTGTTATTCCTAAAATGTGAATTCTGATTACTCAAAAAGTTAAAACAACAACAACAAAAAACCCACAACCCTCCACCTCTTTCCTGGAGCAAACCCAACCTGACGAGGAAAGCCTTTGTCCTGGCATTCTTCCTTCCTACAAATATCCCTCCCCACAGTGATCAAGGCAGGACACACCCCACACACCCAGGGATGCAATTCTCATGATGGCCACACTCTGACAGCTGCCATCAGCCGACAGTGGGCTACTGAGAGCTCAGCCCACACCAACTAAGGCTGCTGGCCACCTCAGAGGGGCTAAAACCACAAGACAGTTTTACTTACCAACACCTTTAAGTGCAAAGAACCACCTCATCTAAGACTTCATGAGATCTCCAACAATACTGGGAAACTAATGGAGTTACCAAACCAGGCACGTGACCCAGTTTTCATTCACACCCACATCCCCCCCCCCCCCAAAGCTCAGAAGTTCTGTAATTTGCCCGAGGCGCAGAAGGGAGCCAGATTCAAACCCAGGTCTGTGCTTCTCCCAAATGATACCCCCAGAAGGACCTTTAGAGATCTACTTGAACGTGCTCGTTCTTGTAAGAGAAACAACAGAGGCTCCAAAGGTGCTATGGTTTTTCAAGGTCAGCAAACCCGGTCTGACTCCTAGCTAGAGGCGCTTTCCGATAGTCTTGTCCCTTGCCCCCAGTCCAACTTCATTCTTTGAGCGGACAGGGGGACAGAGGCCCCCCCCCCAGCCCCCATCCAAGCAAACCTTCAAAGGCAAATTATACTCATTAAATAAAACTAAGTGGCACTGACATCAGATCTGTAAGTTTATTTGCTCAATGTACGACAGCTACATAATGACTCACATTCATGATATTCCATCACTGAGGAAAACTGCTAAGAATGGTCCGTGTGTGAAAGAATTCCTTAGAGAAACACGGAGTTGGAAAAATAATCACTGATTAGACCTTAAAAATAGTTCACTGCATAACATGACAAAAAAGCACAGAGGCTCATTCAGAGAACATCTTCATTGTTCTCCTACACTGTAATAGTTATAATTTCACCATGACAAACACCAGACATTAAGATTAAGCTAACACTGGTGTTTCTTTTGCTTCCCCCCCACCCTTAAAAACAAAATATATAACTGCATGTCACTATAGCAACATCCAAAACAGATCAATTTGTTACGATCACTATTTGGTAGAGCAAACTGTACCCCCAAAAGGAAAAATTAAATTAAAAAAACTTTAAAAAATTTGAAGACTTAATTTTTTTTGTCATAGGAATACATAACACCTACAGTATAAGTTAATAAATTTCAAGCTACTGTATAGAAATACAACACTAGCATGCACAATATTGTATCAATAGAGTAATGGAGGAGTAATCATTTCACTGGAGAGACAGTATCAGAGGCAAGTGCATTTCTTTAAAAATAAAGAAAAGAAAAGAAACCATTCAAGCTGCTTAAATATCAAGTCTCCCATCCCCTCTTCATTTTTAGCCCTCGGGTATAATTTTATCTTGCATTATTCTAAAAAGCAGCCAGAGCCAAAGCTGAAATTTGAAAGAAAAAATAGGTTTTGTAATTCCAGTAAATCATTTCCAAATGCTACAAGAAAGGACACAACACTGCTCACTGGACATGAAGATAAGTTAAGGAAAAGCCCCACCTACCCCCTCCCCCCACCCCCAATCTTTTCCCATCCATGGCATTGACTTTAGGCCCCAGTGATGGCACAAAAGCTGTACAGCTCTCTTCTAGGAGTTTACTGCTAGGGTTCAGTTAATTGGGACTTCTGCTCTAGCGTATGGAGGGAACCTTCTAAGGAAAGTCACGCTGTATAAACTGTGCGATGCCACAGAGCATCAATTCGTCGTACTTCTGGTCTTCACGGTCACCTGGATCCTGTCACACGTTATCCATTTCCTAACCGTAAGTTCAATTTTGGTAACAGCAAAAGCAACGGTCAGTGTTTCCTCAATTATTACTCATACCTCTCCTTGACTAAATAAAACAAAGAAACAGACAAAACAAGTCTGGCGTCATTACCTGTCTCGGGAGTTCACACTGTTACTGATCTTCTAAAAAAGACTGAACACATACTCCACGGTTTGCGTTTTCAGACAGATTTTTTCCAAAATGAGAAATGAAGGACCGAAGGCTAACTGAGAACAAATTTGTGGAAAACAGCAAGGTCGTTTCCCTTCAATTCCAAATCATGCGTCGACCACGCGCGAGAGAAAAGGACTCTCCAGCTTCGATGCTTTCGTTAAAAAGAAAAAAGTGTAGATATATAGAAAAAGTTTTGGTCAAATAGGAGTTATTTATTATCCGAGGATGATTTTAGTTCATCTTCCTACAACAATTACTCGGGGAAGGAGTGTTTTCGGGGAGGAAAGGACTGACATGCTTACGGAGGCTCCCGCCATTGGACAGAATGTGTATGACTAGAAGAGCTCTTCCTTCTGGATTTTTCTACCAGTAAGCTTCTAGCACCTGAATTTTCACACACTGCACCGCAGACTTTCTCAGGAGGACGGCCCAGCCTTTGCAGCCCCACAGCGTCTCCACCCACTGGGCGCCGCCAGCAGAAGGTACAGTGGGGAGCACTCAAGTGAAGAGTGAAATGGCAGCATGATCCCTGAGGAAGGAGCTGTGGCAGCTTAAAAATCAGGAGTTCTCTGAAAATATCAACACAATAAATGACATACAGACCTGAATTTTCTCTATTTTTGTGGTGTGTAACGTTTCTATTAAAGCGAGTAATCCATTTTTGTGGCGGATTGAAGTTAAGAGGAAAGAAAGACAAAAATCCCACAGCCACCTGCCAAGCACCTATTAACCAAAACCTAAAGTAGCTCGGATTCTCCTCAGGCAAGCCTTTTTGGCCTAGGAGACAGGGAACAGCAACACCAACCCGGGTCAAGGCTGACTAAGGATGGAAAGCCAAAAGAACCAGCAAAGAAAAATGCACACTCGATGGCTTGATGTTACATATGGCTGTCATGTAGAAATACTGTAAACTGCAATTTAGTGTTAATACTGTCAACTAATCGGAGACTTCAGAAAACTGGCAAGGCCTAAAACCACAAGGATAAATATACCTTCTGTCCCAAGTCTGTCAGTTTGGGATTTAAACTATTCCCTGGCTGGTCGAGTGCACCCTGAAAAAAAACACAATAGAACAAAACGAAAATGCACGACTAAAAACAGATGAGCTAGGAAGTACCCAGAACTTAAGATTAAGAGCGTATGTACATACAAATCCTTACTGGAACCACAGAACTTCCTGAATGAGGGCCATTCCATTTTTCAGTTTTCTTTTGAACTCCAAACCCTACTCTGGCAATAAGTTAGACTCAAGACAGACAGCTCCACCTGCGTTCATCTACAGAACAGTCCGTATGCCAGTGTGAGGCTGCTATTCCAATACCAGCACAGCTAACCTGACTTTCCACTAGTGGTGTTTTGGCAAAAACGTCAAAGAGGCGATCAAAGACAGGACAGGTCGTGGGCTTCTCCCTGGGAAGGTCGTCCCTCCCTTCCCCTCCCCCACCCGACCCCCCACTCATGGGAAAAAAATAAAGACTGCGGTAGGAGCATCAGCGTGCGCTGCCAGTCCACCTGGGGGCCTTAGTTGTTGCCTTCTCCGCCGTCGTCGTCTTGCTGGTCGCTCGTCCAGAGCGTTAGGTTGTCGCGGAGCAGCTGCATGATGAGAGTGGAGTCCTTGTAGGAGTCCTCGTTCAGAGTGTCGAGCTCGGCGATGGCGTCGTCGAAAGCGGTCTTGGCCAAGTGGCACGCCTGCTCCGGCGCATTCTGGATCTCGTAGTAGAAAACGGAGTAGTTAAGAGCCAGGCCTAATCGGATGGGGTGAGTAGGCTGCATGTGCTCCTTGCTGATCTCGTGGGCCTCGCTGTAGGCCTTCTCGGAGGACTCCACGACAGTCGCCCTCTTCTCTCCAGTGGCCACTTCAGCCAGATAGCGGTAATAGTCCCCTTTCATCTTCAGGTAGAACACTTTGCTCTCGTACTGGGTCTCACTGCAATTCTTGATCAGGTAGTTATCCAGCAGGCTCAGCACATCCTGACACACCGCTTCCAACTCCTTCTCGATCTTTTCGCGGTAAGCACGGACCATCTCTATCTTCTTCTCATTGCCATCTGCAGAGGTCTTCTGCTCAATGCTACTAATGACCCTCCAGGAAGAGCGGCGGGCCCCGACTACGTTCTTGTAGGCCACGGACAGGAGGTTTCTTTCTTCGTTGGACAGTGGCTCGTTCAGCTCTGTCACCTATTAGGAGGAGAGAATGAGGAGTCGTTATGGTCCAGATGATGGCAGTGGATTAATCCTATCTCTGTGCCACTAAAACACAGACTCATCGGCTGATTAAAGTGATTAACAGCTGAGAACTGAGGCCGTGTGGGTGTACGGAAGGGGATGGAGGCGGAACGAACAACAAAGAAGGAAAACACTGCTGCTCATCAGTGGTGCCTGAACCCGTGCTTCCTCCCAGGGAAAGGACACAGCCTTAGCACATAGCTGTTCCGAAGAACGATCAAAGTTGAGCTCCTAGAGGACAAACCAAAATTTGATCTACGTTGCAAAAGGTCAACAGATCTCTCCTGTAACATTACATACCTACCTACCAAATCCCGGGGGTTGTTAAGCACAGGTGGCCAACCTACCTCAACAGATTTTTAGGAAATCAGACTGACCCTTTCCTTCTAACCTCGTCCTGTCTACTCAGTTCCGTCCCTCTTCAGGGAGAATATTGTGAGTCAACTTCAAGTTGACATTTGAGAAATGAGAAGGCTTTTCTGCTCTTGTGTTAAGACCGTATGAATTACAAATCTCAGAAGGGAAATCAAAACCACCGGGGGCATGGGGCTGAGTCTGGCCATGGAGATACGTCAGCAACTGGGAGAACACGGACCTGTTGCTGTGTTCGGCCTAACGCTACGAGTAACACAAAAGAATGGAGAGATGAGCAAGGTATTTCTAAGCTGAGGTGGCCAATAGGAATTAATGCTTCTTTCCATGTGGGCATTTCGACAAGTTTCGATCTTCATCACCCCAAAGATTAATCACTCTGAGGAAGTTAAAGCAATGTCCCACCAATGATCTGTATTTTTAGGACTACCACACAACTGCTTAGAATAAGAAAGTCAGTAACACTGCACTGACTTAATTTATATTACCTGATGTCTGTCATATCAGAGCCAGACACCACTGTCTGACAACATGTGAAATAGAAAATTTTACAAGGATAGGGCTTTTTATTCCTATCCAAAGGCACATTTTTTATTTGTCTGGCTATCCTATCTACACTGGTAGTTATACTAAGTCAATGGCTAAGCCACAACATCAGGAACCACGATTCATTCACTATTTCATAAAGTCTTACAGAGGACCAGACACCTCCCTTGTCCTGTCCTCTCCTACCTGTGGCTCCAGTCACGACACCTTAATTGCAACTAAACAAAACAAAAACTTCGCACTTCTGCCCTTTGTTCTTCCCCTCCCTGAAATACTATACAAGTGTCAAGAATCCAAGTTAAGGGGCGCCTGGGTGGCTCAGTTGGTTAAGCATCCGACTTCGGCTTGGGTCACGATCTCACAGTTTGTGAGTCTGAGTCCCACATTGGGCTCTGTGCAGACAGCTTGGAACCTGGAGCCTGCTTCGGATTCTGTGTCTCCCTCTCTCTCTGCCCCTCCCCGGCTTGAGCTCTCTTTCTCAGAAATAAACATTAAAAAAAGTTAATATCCTCTATTCATATCCTCTCTGAAACCTTCCCCATCTCTCCCTCCAACCCCAGTTAAAACTGGCCACTCTAGGGGCGTCTGGGTGGCTCAGTCAGTTAAGCATCCGACTTCGGCTCAGGTCATGATCTCGCGGTCCGGTCCGTGAGTTTGAGCCCCACGTCGGGCTCTGTGCTGACTGCTCAGAGCCTGGAGCCTGTTTCAGATTCTGTGTCTCCCTCTCTCTCTGACCCTCCCCCGTTCATGCTCTGTCTCTCTCTGTCTCAAAAATAAATAAACGCTAAAAAAAAAATTAAAAAAAAAAACAACTGGCCACTCTACGTAGTGTTATATTACTTATAGATGTGAAGAGTGGGGGGAGGACATAATGCAAAATGATATACCAAAACTATTTTGAGGAGTTGGGATACCAAGAGACTTTTTCGTACATGTGAATCATTCACATTCGGTCTGTATGGCACTTTTATAAACTGGGAAGGTGGGGAGGGTTATGCTTAGTGCAACTGGTTGTATAAATTAAACAGTATCTCTGAGGAGATAATTAAATCAGAACACAAACCAAATCATGCATATTAATTTACGGCAAGCAATTCATTCTTTGAAAGAATTAATCATGCTTTGCTCGCTAATTCCCACAATATCCGGCAAATGACGTATCTGCAAGTATTTCTTAAACTCATCAGCCGCTTTTCTTATGTTACCCTTTTGCTATGCATTATTGGTTCCCCATTATAATGCTGGAGAACAGGACCTTCCCCAGACATGGCCTACATGAGACACAGAGTGAGGAGACAGGCTTTTTGTGCAGAAGGAAATCAGGACACAGGTGTTTTCTGTTCCATGACCTCTGACCCCCGTGCCCCTGTGGAAACTCCACTTCTCCAGAATAAGGCGGCTTGTATCATCTCACGTCCAATTCTTTATATGTTCTAGGCTCTGGAGACACTATTCTCAGCCCACAGACCACACTGTCACTCCTGATGATTTGAGGCATATTCAGATAACCCAGAAGACTGGGGTTTTCCCAGGCCCACCATTTTACTAAGTGACCTTGGGTGCAAGCATTTCATCCTCCTGGCATCTCATTTTCTTATCCGTTAAAATAAGGGTTCTGCCTCTTTCATAAAATTACTATTAAGAGTGTATCAGATGAGGGGCGACTGGGTGGCTCGGTCAGTTGAGTGTCTGACTTGGTTTCCACTCAGGTCATGCTCTCATGGGTCACTGCATCGAGCCCTGCATCAGGCTCTGTGCTGGCAGCATGGAGACTGCTTGGGATTCACTCTATCCCCACCTCTCTCTCAAAATAAATAAAATATTAAAAAATTTTTTTTAATTTTTTTCAAAATTAAAAAAGCGTATCAGATGAACGGTAAAGTGCTCTTGACTCAATAAAGTGACAAAGAGGTGAGCAATTACTTTTGAGAATGCCTTGAATAGTTTTCCATTTTAATTCTCAGCATAAGAAGGCTCTAAATTTCTTACATAACAATCTGCTAGCTTACATCCCTGTATCAAGTATCGCTTCTCCATTTCATCCTGTTCTCTGTTCAAAGCTGAAATTTCTTTAGCTACCTTACATCACTTCCTTTCCAGAAACTTTAACATCATATAGCCTGAAAAAAACCAAAAACAAAAACCTCCCCAGACTGGCTTTCAAACAGGCAGAGGCCTCTGTAAGCCTCAGCCACGCAAACCATAGGACTCCAGCCTATATTCACTGGACACTCGCCTCTAGTGCAACCTGATAACTGTCTCTGATGCAAAAAGAAGCCAGAGTGCCTAAGGCCATTGAGATCGAGTTCTGGCCTTTCCCCTAAATCATGCTGTCCTTATTTCTAGAGCCGGCAACTATTTAAAGCTCAAATGACCTCACCAGTACCCTATACTGTTAGGTCTCCTGCTGCAAATGCAGTAGGGCTGCAGAGCCCACGGGCAGAAATGTGCTTATGTCAAGACGGCACGGCTGCCCCAGACGGGCACACGGAGATTATGAAACGGCCGTATCGCCTTTAGATATAGTAACTCGACCACATTTGGAACATACCCAGATGTTCTCTGCCACTGAAGAACTAAGTGAGAGGGAAAAACCTTGACTCTTAAAAAGTCTGCTCAAAGGAAAGATGAGGTTCCTCTAGGAGCCTTAAACAAGCACTTCAAAAACTCCTTAAGATCAAAATGACTTGTGTGAGAATTAACCTGTGATTTTTACATTCAAACAAGAGATCCCAAACAGGCTAGTTTTAGGAGTCAAGAGAACTTTTGAAAAGGGGAGAAAAAAATTATTCTCATAGTGTCCAAAAAAAGGTTTAACCAAGATAGAAGGAGAGTGTTCGATGTGGGAAGATGAGAGAGATGTATCATCTGGGAAGGGAGAGACTTATTTTTCAAAAACAGTCACTGAATTGTTTCTACGAATGCAACACATTAAATATGGTCCCCAAAATATACTGTCACGGCGGCTGGAAAATGTAGAAAGTCTGTATTCTCTGGTGTGTCACATGTTCCGCTTAAAAACAAAATGAAACTTTCCGTCTTTTCAACTCCTAGGATACTAGTCCAAGTTCAAATTTCTTTCAGTGAGTTCAAGATAAACAGAGAAGTAAAAAGACCCAGAAAATCTGATATTCTCAGACAGGTTAAGAACTAGAACTCCCCAAATCCCAGCTGCTAAGGAATCAGATATTAATTAGTGTCAACTGTTCTCCCCTAAGAGTTGATGCAGAGACTTTTCAACCAAAGATCAGCAACCCTCAAGATTCTTGGAAAGCTATTTAGAGGACTTTCTGACCCCAAGATTCAGAGCACTGAGTCATTTACAATTTCCTCAACTTCTCTATCAAGGACCTTAAATCGTAATGAACACAACTTCAAATGTTTAATCTTCTTAAATAAGAAAAAACTTGAATCAGGCTTACTTTATTTAAAATCTATTTCTATTGGGGCACCTGGGTGGCTCAGTTGGCTGAATGTCTGGCTTCCACTCAGGTCATGATCTCATGGTTTGTGGGTTCGAGCCCTAGATCAGGCTCTGTGCTGATACCTCAGAGCCTAGAGTTTGCTTTGGATTCTGTGTCTGTCTCCCTCTCTCTCTGCCTCTCCCCTGCTTGTGCTCTCAAAAAATGGACAAATAAACATTAAAAAATATATAAATAAATAATATCTATTCCTATCTTGCAGAAGCTTACGAAGAAGTTACAAAACAACAGTTATGGTGGTGACCACAAAACATCTTGATTTAAGAATCAAGACAGAAGGGATGAACAGGTGGAAAAAAGGATGTTTAGGGCATGAAACTATTCTGTATGATACCCTACTGGCGAGTACATGTCATTACACACTCGTCAAAATCCATAGAACATGTATCACTGAGAATAAACCCTAATGTAAACAAATCATGGACGGTAGGTCTAGGCCCACTGACTCTAACAGACCAGTCAAAAGACACTGACAGCACAGGGCATTGTGCAGACAGGCGGTGGCAGGGCAGGTAGGGGGCACATGGGAACTCTGTGTTTTCCACTCAATTT